TGTCCGAACAACGAAAACGGCTATCATTTTACGCAAATAGGTATGTAGATAGGACAGTTTATAGCGAAACTCGTAAAAGCAAATCTCCATTCTTTGTTAAAAATTTAAAAAAATTCTTCAAAATTGTACCTTACTGAAAATTAAAGACAAAGTTACAATAGTTCAATGGGATTTGGAAATCTAGGAGAAAATGGTTCCCAATCGAATGATACTTGCGCGTTTACGTAAATGTATATCGATCCAGCCTTTCCAATAATTACCACTTTTCGCCATAACTACGGTATTGATAACATATGTAGCTGTGTAGAGTTTCAGGACGTTAGCGCAAGCAGTTCCAGAGATAAGCTATATGAGAAGTTCAGTTTGTATGGAAGGAAGGAGCCACGCCCCCTTTCCCAATGCATTTGCAATATATGCATCAATGCTAAGCTTCAGTTCCCCAGCGTAATTGGTTTTAGAGATATATTGGTTTTTTACGTTTTAGTCTGTATAAGAATTTTAGGAATATCCCGAGCTACATACCGAGTAAATTTTTGGTCAGAATATTTATTTTCAAGGTGTTGCCAAATATGAACCAAGTCGGTGCAGCCGTTTAGTAGTTTAGTGAAATACATTGTAAAAAGAACTGTATGATATTGTAAAACGTGACGTCTCAGATTTCTTAATTTTTTGGCAGCTACAACGATAAGTTTTAATTTTTTTTAGTGAAAAACCTTCCACACAGAAATAAAAAAAAAATTAAGTTTGCGGTTATATCAAGGCGAAATTTTGAGAACGGTCCGTTGCTAACTCTAAATATAAACAACGACGCACTGGAAAAAGTTAATACGTTCAAATACCTAGGAATAATGATCGACGATAAACTAAAACAAAAAAAACATGGATTCTACATTTTCAATTAGAGCTCTAGTAATATGTATATCGGTGAAAACTGCATTTAATTCCATACATTAGCTTTTGCGTGATGCGCTTGCAAACATACAGACAAACATACCAAAATTTTAGATTTGGCTGATCTAATAAACCCCCTATTAATTTTTCTTTTACATCTATTATGTACAGATATCGGACTGTTGCAATTTTATTATTCTCAAATACTCTCGTTTGATACCCATATGGCAACACTTAGTTTATATTATAAATTTAACTGAATTAAAATTTTCAAATAAGTGACAACCCACTTCAAGAATATTTTCAAAAGTAAGCTTCCTAATCCTCTTTAGTTTAATATTCGTATTGCAATATTTCATTTATTTTAAAAATTTTAATGAATACAATTTTTCAATCAGTTGGCAAATCCTCTAAAAATATTTTTAGCATTAAAATTTCCTAGTCTCTTTAGTTTGATGCCAATATTGCAATATTTAATTTATGCTATCAATTAAATTAAATTAAAATTTTCAAATAGGTGGAAACCTTCCCCAAAAATATTTGCAGCTGTAAGCCTTTGTAAATTTCTTTCTTTTGACAGCCATATTGCAGTATTCACTTTACCGTATCAATTGACCTAAACTGAAATTTTAAACACAGGTGGCAACTCTCTAATTTTTTCTTCTATATTGGAAGCTACATCTCTAGCGATACATCTGTGAAAACTGCATTCAATTCCATGTTTTCGACTGATGCGCGTACAAATATACAGACAGACAGAGATTCAAAAATTCTAAAAATTGTTTATTTGGCTTCTGTAGCTTTAATAAAAACCCACCATATTAATTTTTCTTTATTATCTGTAAGGTACAGACATCGATCTGTTACAATTTTATTATATGTATAGATGTAGATATAGATTTCATTTATTTTATCAATTTAATACAATAAAATTTTTCAAACAGGTGGCAGCCCTCCCTAAAAATATTTTCGACAATAAAATTTACTAAACCCCTCCAGTTTGATAACCATATTGTAATATTCAATTTATCTTATAAATTAAATTAAATGTAAATTTTCAAACAGGTGGCAACTCTAAAAAAATATTTTTGGCTGTAAGCGTTCTCTACCCTCTTTCTTTTGATGCCCATATTGCAATATTCATTTTTTCTTATCAATTTACTTAAACTCCAATTTTCAAACAGGTGGCAACTCTCCAATTTTTTTCTTCCTATATTTTAAGTTAGACCTCTAGCCATACATCGGTGAAAACTGCATTCAAATCCATGTATTCATTTTCGAGTGATGCGCGAGCAAACATACAGACAGACAGACAGACAGACAGACAGCCAGACAGATATACAGACAGACAGACAAAAATTCTAAAAATGGTTGATTTGGCTTCTGGTGCTCTAATAAAGACCCCCCACATTAATTTTTCTATAATATCTATAATGGACAGACATCGACCTGTTACAATTTTATTATATGTATAGATAACAAACACAATGTAAATCCGCTTTCTAAACTTGGTGCAAAAATTATAAAAAAAAACTGGAAAAATCGACGCGATTTTTTAATGCGCTATTAAACTAAAAAAACTCTGAAAAATCTCAATAAAAAAATGAAAAGAGAAAAATAGCCAAAATTGATCAAAACGTTGCTGGCTTAATTAACTGATCGCACGTGTACATTATACTTTCACTATATCATATGTATGTATGTAAAGAGTGTTTTTTTTTTGACGTGTGGTTTTCAATGAGGCAATACTTTTTTCGGAGTTGGTCTTTTTGACAGCTGTTACTTGATTTATACTCAGTTTGGTTTGCCATTTCATAATGAACAGACTTACTCCGGAACAACGTTTGCAAATCGTGCAAATTAATACCAAAATAATGGTTCGGTTCGAGTGACGCATCGCGCGCTGCGTCCAATATTCGGTCGACATAATCGCCCAGCAGAGTCGTTAATTCGAGCAACAATGGATCGGTTTCGCACCACGTTTACTCTAGTGGATAATGCGCATCCTCAGAGATGCCGTACAGTGCGCACCGAAGACGCTATTGTTGCTGTGGAGCAGAGTATCGAAGAAGACCCAAATGTCAATGGGGAACGCTATAGAGCAAAGATTAATGACTTTTTCCTGCTTGAATTGGAGGATGTTGATGTGGACGACCTTTGGTTCCAACAAGACGGCGCTACATGCCATACAGCTAACGAAACCATCAATTTATTGAAGGAAACTTTTGGTAAGCGCATTATCTCGCGCTGTCGCTTGTCTACACAGATAAGCCCGAGACGATCGACGCCTTGGAAGAGAATATTCGGCGCGTTGTTGCTGACATACGACCCCCAAATGCTTCAAAAAGTGGTCGAAAATTGGGCCACTCGGCTGGAATTTATTCTAGCCAGCCGCGGCGGTCACTTGCCCTAAATCAGTTTTAAAACATAACGGCAAACTTTTATCTTTATAATAAAGCTAAATTCTTGGCCATAACATTAAACTATATGCGTTTTTTTCTTCATGAAAACCACATGTCTAAAAAAAACCCCCCTTTATGTTAATCACCACTTAGCCGTTGCAATGACACATTTGAGAATAAACCTTAGGCTTGGTTTGAAATTACAGACGGATTAGCCGTTCGTGTCCGGACACTTTTTGTTTGTATTTTTTTAAGGGTATTTTCCCACTCTGTCTCACTGAGAGCGCAAGAAAAATGCGGTGAACTCTCTTTGTTCCAATCAAATTGATTTTGATTTTCTGTTCGAACGGCTTTCTCTTTTTTATGGGTTTCGTAGCGAATTGCATTTATTATTCGCTCATATGGTACATCTATACCTTCATTGGATTTTTTTTGTACATACTTTTGTAACATCAAATACTAGTAATATTAAAATATATGTACATACATATGTAGATTCTTAAGTGCTTATAGAAAAATAGAATACAATGCTTAGTGGTACAGCTGTACCAAAAATGTTCGTAGAAAGAGTGCGGAAAGGTTAATTTCTGAGCATTCGCTCTTAAAGAGAAAACTATCCAAAAAAGTAAGTGAACGCAAAACCAGTAAACATTTCCTAGTTTCATGAACAGCTGTTTAATTTGTTGTTCAATCGCAGCAATTTAAAATCTTATTATATATTCAAATAGGGTTATTTTGTCAATTTCAACTATACAAAGCCGAAGGAATTGTTTCTTTATTAGCGTTTGCACCCAGCAACATGCGATCAGCTGTTTTTTTTCATCGGAAATTTTTGCAATGGTAATTGTTCGCAACTTCCCCTCCAAGTGAACTGTCATTTTGCTCTCTAAATTTCCCCTACTTTGCAAGTTTTTTGGAAACATGAACACCAAAACGTGATAATTTGTGACAATTGCTCCAAATTATTTGCTACGTGAATACGCATATTGGTTTCACTTTGGATACAATAAAATAACAATTTTATTCACTTGAGTATCAATTTAAAATTAAATGAAACAAAACGAAATAAAGTCATACATAAAGTATAAACAGAATCAAATCGCTCAGAGAAATTCGTTGGAAGACAGTTCGCTGCCAAAATTAAAACACACTGCAGTATATGAGATTGCCCACAACCAAAGCGGCGACGAAGTTCGTCTGTCGAAATTCGGCAAGAATAAATTTATTTTTAATTTTGCCGTTGTCGCCGGTCACAAAATCAGCTCTCAGTGGGAAAGTAGCTTTGTTTCCCCATTTTTCTAGCAGATAGTTATCAGCAAGAGTCAGAATGGCAAAATTTGGTGATTCATCTTTTCGCTTTTCTATTTTAATATTTTTTGTTTGCCATTCAATTGATGTGATTTTCCTTTTCCTTTCCTTCTGTTTTACTGGGCGAAATGTTGCAGCGAATATCACCCGGCGGCATCGCTCCGACCGACGAAATTCGCACAGCGATTTGGTTCTGTGTATACGTATAAATATGTTTATGTACAAAATAAAATAACAATAAAAAATAAGAAATTTAATTTTTGGAAAAAGCTCATCCCCAGGAGTGAACCTGGCTCCGTTGAGTGGTACGAGTAGTACACAGTTATGACCACTGGGCTACCGCTCACACGACATTCACTGGCTTTGTTTCCTTTGTTTAGTTTACATTCACAATGGAATTTATCTGGCCGTTTTGGTCTGTGCTGTCAACGAAAATTCCACTGATCCGCATTCAATTTGAGAATTATCTCTGGACTTAATCCGGGTAAAGTGCAGTTAATCCCGAGTTAACGAGTTGATCCGGATCAACGCTGATGTCTGTATGTGTATGCTTTTATTAATCATTTCTCTTGAATTTTTAATTAAGGTTGAAGGGTGCAGACTTCTTTAAGCCTGCGTGGTCACAAGGCTGGATTAAAGTTCGCGACCAAGGCGAGTTTATAAAAGGTGGTAGCAAGAATACAAAAACAACAATTCCATGTATCTTGTTTTTGATTTTGCGGGTTAGCTGTCAAAGTTAACTCGATTTTGACGGGTGTACTGTCAAATCAGTAAAAGCAAGAACAAGGCGAAGAAATAAGCTGGTCTAACAACATCCCCTTTTTATGAACTGGCCTTGGTTCACGACTATAATATTTTAATAACAAAATTGGGTACAGCAAAACTAGTGAATTTTAAATATTTAGTGTTAAATGAAGCCTTTTTTCCTAAGTATCTAATGAACAGATTCAATGGTTTTCAAAAAAGCTGCAGTTGGAAATACTTTTTACTAAAAGCTATCCTACTGATTTAACATTTAAAAAGGCAGCAGCACATTTACTCCAAAAAAAAAAATGTTGCTACCTAATAAGTAAAAACAAAAATATAAATAGTTCATGCAATTCTTAGCCATTTATAATTCGAAATAAATGGATCGCAATTCTTTAAATTTTGATGCTAGCGACGAACTTGGTTCAGAAAAGTTAAAATAAACGTATTCGAGCTGATTTACACTTGCAGCAAAATGACTTGCATATTACGATAGTAACATTAAAAGTATCGAAGTTTTGTACCATCAAGTATTTGGTCTTCTTTAAACCTCGCGTAAATTTTTAAGCTAGGATTGACCTTATAGAAAAAATATGTTTGCATAGCTTCCGGTGGACATTGCTCCCGATTATGTCAGTACTATTTACAACTACAACAATTTGGATTTCTCTCATTCTCAAATTCAATGACGCCAATACGGCGACGGTATGGTTTATGTCCCGGCAGTTCCAAGGGTCTTTTAGATGGCATTCGCGGTAGACGCATATTTAGTATGTTTACGGTATATTTTCTATTTTGTTTTCCATTTGGATACCCATTTTCGTATAATGGCCGGGAGGATGCGAACGTTGTTTTACTTTGAATGCATATTAATTTCTTTTCTATTTCACTGTTGTGTTCAAGCTTTATATGTTGAAGCAGTTTTCCTTCGGTGAGAAATTCGCACTTGCAGTTGTCGCAAGCATGGCTTACCTGCTTGGTGTGTGCTATTAGATGCAAATCCAACTGATGTTGAAACATGAATTGTTCGTTACACTTATAGCAAATAAATCGACCTCCATTTTGACGATCCAGATGGTAGTCCAAGAAAACTCTAAATGAAGTCGGGATAAATTAAATTAAAAATCATATCAATTTATTGGAATGATTTATATATACAGCTAGGGTCAAAGATTTACCATAAAAATGCATAATGATATTGTTTGCAATTTATGTGTATTTAGTATTTATATTTAACGATTTTTATTTAAAATTGAATTGAAGCTTAAACTATGTGCACATTACAACACTTCACATAACTCAAGTGCGTTCAGAGTTGCTTTCATGATTTCTATATACATTTGATTAGCATGTGTACGTATGTACGAGTGAGTGGTTTGAACTTGATTTCAAAATAAATGGTCGCATACCTTTAGGTATTGTTTTTACGAATTTCCTAAACAGTGGCAGCTAAAATAAATGACAATTCGGGGTTTTCTTCTTTTGGTTATTGATTTATGATAAATTATATCATTTCTATTCAATTTATTGACAGCTTTTACAAGGCGAAATAACTTGATTTAAGCATGATTTGCTTATAAATTCCAGATGAGCCGTAAATTACGATAATGTGAACATGCTTAATAACATAAACCACATAGATACAAGTTTCAAGGCTTGCACAAGTTTTACAAAAATTGATCAAACTTCAAAAAGTTGTCATGCAATTTCAAACTAACGCTCGAATAAAATTTATTTTTGTATGGAAGATAATACATAACACCGTGCCAAAAAATGTCAAAAACCAACGGTAATTCTAAGCTACCTGAAACTTGCACTAGACTAAAATTAAATGGCCTAAAAAAGTGCATACCCGAAAATTTTCTAAAAATGTTGGTTAGAAAATTGGAAATTTTGATGACAATTTTTTGAAGTTTAATTAATTTTTATGAAAGTTATGCAAGATTTGAAATTTGTATGTATGTGGTTTCTATTATAGATTGAATCATGATACATTGTCACCTTTTCGTCGTCATATTAATAACTTGACAATTAAGCAGATTGTGACATTTCGTGCTACCATACCAAATATCTAAAATCCTTCAAATTTTATTATTAACTTTTTGTTTATTTAAAAATATTCTGTTCTTAGAATCGAAATTTGAACAAGCCAAAGGTATTTGGTTAGGTACGGTTCGGTAATTTGTACAATAATTTTGGGTTATTGTTTCCAAACGGGTACCCCGAATCAATGAATTTTAACTTACGCACATTCCATATTAAACGCTAGTTTTATATAAAGATTTCAAGATTTAAATTTCGAATAAAAATTTATTAATAAATTCGATTTGATATATGGACTTATTTGCAAAAAATACTGGGGTCAGCGTAGTCGGAGTTGGACTGATGAGGGCTTACAACGCAAAAATCCTGTGGTTGGCGTAACCCGAGTCTACATTTTCTCTGTAAAAATTCTAATTTTATCCTGCTTTCCAATGGATCTCTGCAGAGGGGTCGGAGAAGGAAAGTTTGTCTAATGGGAGCGGTTTTATGTGCCACACCCCCTTCGCATCCGCTGTCCACCCAAAATCTATTCCACATATAACCGAACGTTCCCCCTTTTGTTATTGAAAGATAAGAGGACTAATGCTCAATGAGTTGATAATTGTAGTTCTCGGTTTGCAAACTATCTAACAATAAATCCTTTATTTCACAACCCCACCAATATTGAACAGTAAAATATATATATTTTTACACAAAGAAACAACGATATTGTCAAAATATACTTGAGATAGAAAATATTGACATCTCTGAAAGTCATAAGGCCCACGGGTCCCAAAGTAATTTCCACTTTCAAGTTACTTGCAAGACATGCAGTTAAATGGACAAAGACAATATGCATTAAACAACACATCGAAATATGTAATTTCAGTGTCAGAATTATATCAGAAACAATCGTATCATCGTAATAGTCCTGGGTAGCTATATTTAGAAATAATCAGATGACATAAGGAAAATTTGTTCACTAAAATTATATCAATCTAAAAGAAAACATTTTGGCGAGTGGTTTTCGAATTTAATGTGAAATTTAAACATTTTTAAGATAAGAGATTAATTATTTTTAAAAGGTAAAGGCTAAAACAACTTTAGTATTTATAATCTCAAATGGATGATATAAAATCACATTCACCAAAAAATTTAAATTGGGTAAAGCCGCTTCGAATTTTTCACAATTGAGCAATTGTCAAAAAATCAAAAAGTTGTTTATTGAAACTACCTTCTTTTTTGCATCATGGATTGAATTATGATTTAAATGAAAATTATTAATAATAAATAAATAAACATAAGTTGCAAAAAATATCATTTTGAATTTCGGTGCTAAATCTTTAACCATAGCTGTATGTATATATAGCGGTAAAAATATAAATAGGGAAAGACATTTTAGCATTATTTGGCTAGTAAGTAAAAATTTCAAGCTTTATGCAAAAATTCGACAAAATTTTGAGCTTTTTAATTCGATTTTTTAGAAGCATTTTTAGCATGCAGTTTTGTAGCCCATTCAATTTTAGTAAACAAAGTGCAGATTAATTGATACTTTGTATGTAAGAAATTGCGCGGACAAAAAATTGCCAAAAATCCACGATAAGTCCTAGCTTCTTAAAATTTGCAATTTACTATACTAAAACACAAAAAATTCTAAAAAACCCAATTAAAAAAATTGAAATTTTGATAAATATTTGCTAAAATTCGTAGAATTTTTATAATGTTGTAAAAGTTTGAAATTTTGATTTACTTGGTTTTTTAGATAGTAAGCTTTGTATTTATAAAAATTAATAAACGTTTTTTAAACAAAGAAAATTAGCCAAAACTTGCTAAAATGTCTTTCCTATTTACATTCTCGCTACCGTATATCTTTGTATTACTTTGTACTCACTTGCTTGTAAAAACGCTACCACATTTCTGACAATAAAACCAAGAGCTTTTGAAATGATGAACATAATCATGTAGCATTAGGTTCAACAATGTGTCAGTGAAGAAACCGCAGTCTTCGGATAAGCAAGTAAACTCTTGAGCTTTTATCTGAGCTTTTAGCCTTTCCAGAAGGTAAAGATCTGTAATTAATTGGCACAAAATTGATTTAAGCTAATTTACAAAGTTTTATCGTACACACCATACTCCTTTTCACTATCAATTTGCATTGTTGGTACATCTAAATTTTCATTCGAATTGCGTCTATCTAACCAATCATCAGTGTAGACTCTCCGATTTGACTCCATTGAGTCTGCTACGGAAACATCATCATCGTCATCATTGCCTAAGTCGCAACCATCAAGGTCACTATTCTCATTATCAGTGTGCCCATATATGTACTGTGACAAGCTAGTTAACACTGTTAATCTGCGCCGTAATACCGGCTTTTCCACCACTTTCGTCCTGGCTCTACTTTGAGCGCGTGTTATCCGACGACTAGCCGTTGATTTTATAAATGATCGCTGGGATCGGACAATAGATTTATTGTCATCATTTAGTGGCAGTCCTTTTTCATCTTCATTAAGATGCTGTTCCTGCCATACCTGCCTTTCTGCCAAACAAACGATGCGATGAAAATCGTGTTCATGCAAAGTACTAAATTTTTTATTGCACATATCACAAATATACTCTCGCAAATGTGTGGCACGATGCTGCCGCAACTGTGTTAAGCTATTCATCGTTGCTAAACATTCGGTGCAATGAAATTTTCGTTCTCGCTTCAACGTCTCAAAGGTGGTTTGAGAGATAAAATTGTTCACTCCATTGATTAGAAAGCGCTTGGAACTAACATTTCCTTTATTTTCTTCGCTAGTGGTAGCCAAAGATGGCAAGCTTCGTGCAAACAGATTGCGACAGCGTCTTACATGTTTGGTAAGGTGGTCTTTTCGTATATAGCTTTTACCACAGTATTGACACAATCTCTGGGTTTGCGGGAGCGAAGAACGTTTATAGTTGTTAATTTTCCCGCCAGATTCTGTAATCAAAACAGATTCAGAGCGTTCCCGAATAACTTGTAGCATTGAATGGCTGGCACCATTCTGCGAGTACGTTGAATTTGAACAAGACGATAGCTGTGAACTCGGTATGGGTCTTCCTATTAACTCAGCATTTTCCCGCAATGGCATGGAAGTTTGTAGCCCAGGAGTATACTCTGTAATCATTGATTCCAGATGTTGTATTGATGGCACGTGTACATTCTCGCTCATATCAAAATTTTTCGATTGGACAGTATTTCTATTGTCCGATGTCATAACTTTGGCAACGGATTTATCGATAATACGGTGTTTGTCAAAATACTTATTTGAAGAGGGATGGTACGGATGTTTAGATAGGGGAATGTTTGAATTGGACCCTTCAATAGAAGTTGTAAGCGAATTATTCCATATGTGCGGAACAATTCCGCTCTCTTCAGCATTTCTTATTGGTGAAGCTTGCGTCGTCTTACAAACACTATTGGCACATTTAATAGATTTAAGAGTTCTCTCTGTCTTGTGTTCAATATTTTTCTTTATTCCAAACTTGGTTTCTTCCGGATAGACATCTTTGGTATGTTCTACTTCTTCATAATTAAGCTCATTTTTCTCAGTCGTTTTCAACATAAGACCATTACTAAGTCCATATAATCGTACTCTTATATTATTTTGAACTTCTTTGATTGCTCTTGATTTAAATACGCAAGTTATACAAAGGGATGATAAACATTCATCGAGATTCTGCAAAAACAAAAAAATAGTATTCATATAAAGCTAATTATTTGCGGTTGAGTACGGACGTGTTCTTTATTCGCTAAATAAAAATCATATTTATCGTGTAACTAAACATATTTCACCATCAAAAGACACACTACACTATTATTCGAGTTTTGTGTCGTCGCGAACTGCCCTCAGCAGTATAAAAGATCAAAGCGTGGTCGCGAAAAATACCTAAATAAATAATAAGATATTGAGTGTATCAAAATAAATAAATTATTGTTTACATGCAAAATAAGAACGGTAGTTAAGTGAGAGATGAGTGTCCAAGGCGCTCCCCTACAAGAGCGCAGGCACATGCTTAAGTTAGGGCACTTCCCCGACTTATGGAAACTTTCAGAAATAATTATGGCGCCAAAGCCAGATAAAGATCCGACGGTAGTAAATTCATATCGGCCCATTAGCTTGATTTCTGTATTTTCCAAAGTATTTGAAAAACTTCTATTGAAAAAAATACAACCTTCTCTAACGAGTAACCAAATAATAACACCAGATCAGTTTGGTTTTCGTGAAAAACATGGAACTGTAGAACAAGTTCATAGGCTCATTCCATCTCAAATCACCCAGGCCGGGGGAAAGTGAATTTAATTTTGCGATAAAACTCACAGGGATTGTTCCTTGCACAATTTAAGGAGACACGTATTTTTTCTTTTTGATCAGAAATGCGAA